GGGAGGGCGGGCGGGCGGAAGCACCTACCCTCGCATTACAGGTGACGTCGCTGACATGGTCGTTGCCCCGAAAAACCATGAGGCAGGCGGTCGTGTCCCGAGCGAGGCGGAGGAAGAGGGGTAGGCAGGCGGTGTCGGACTGTGTGGACATGAGGGCCTGGGCCGTGGGGGGGCCGTGGGGCACCCGCACGTGGACGGCGGAGAGGAGGGAGGAGGAGGAGGCGGCGGTCACGGAGGCCTTGATGGAGGAGACGAGGGAGGGGGAAAGGGAGGACATGTCGGGGTTGCTGACCAGGATGCTGCGGAGGGCTTGGTTGATCCCGTAGGCCGCGTCAATGCCATAAGGGTAGGAGAGGACCTCCACGCGCGCGGAGAAGTCGATGGCTTTCTTCAGGTCGAACCGGTTTTCGGCGCGGAGACGGAGCATTCCGTCGCAGAAGCCTGGTGGCGTGAGAGGAGAAATGAGGGAGGGAGGAGGGAAGGGGTCAGTGGCAGAGATGGGAGAACCTGCCATACCAAGCCGTGTTTCGCACGTCAGGGCTATCACTCCCACAGAATCTCGTGGCCGAGCTCAAGCGGGGTCTAAGAGGCATGGCTATGTACAGAGCCTAGGCAATGTCGTGGGGGGGAGGAAGATGCCCTGAGGGATCGACAAATACTTACCTCGCAAGGGGTAAATGGAAGTGTTGACTGTGGAAGGTTGCACAGGCAGCACCGCGAGTGCCTCGTTTCTTTCCCTGAGTGGATGCCCTCCCCGATAACCAGCCATGCTGCCCCTCTGAATGTCCGACGAGGGTGGTTGTGGTAGGTATGTGCCAGCATCTTGTTGCCCAGCTCCAGACCTCGGTCTTCTCCCTTTCGCGGCTCGCTTCGGCGATTTCGTGTCTGCAAATACTGCCATGGGAGCATTTCGTTGTCCAGCAACCCTTGCAGATGGTCGGTGGCTTGATAGAGATACGCAGCCGGTGGGATCGCCGATGCCCGGCTCGTCCGACGGGGGCAGGTAGAAGCGAAACTGGGTTGAGGGGCCCGGCGCGGTGTTATACGAGGAAGGGACAGAAGGAGGAGGAGGAGGACGTGGATGAATTGTGGAAGTGTGAGGGGTTGTGGCATCGTGGGTCCTCAATGACTGGGAGATGGGCGTCGGAACATGGGAGGGGTTGAGATGAGGGTGATGCCCCTGGCCTTGGCGGATAAAAGCCGCAGGCCTCACGGTATTCCCCGAGCCTGCCCCACTGGAGCCTAAAGACCCGCCCGAGAGTTGCTGCGACGAGAGCGAGGATGAAAGGGTGGCAATGACGTTGTTTGGAAGGCTTGTTGGCGGTGGTGGACGTCGCTTGGGTTCGCTTGCATTCCGCCGCTTGCTTGGTGGCCGCGGTTCGTCCTTCTGAGCGCCATGTGCTGGAAGCGCTGAAGGTGGAGCCGGTGGTGGTGCTGACGGCGGTTCTGCCACCATTTCCCCTACCTATCCGAGCATGCATGTGTAGTAGAGAGAGTAGAAGCATGTTTCAGGATTGATCGTCGAAATGCTTGGGTTTCACGGTACGTGCGCGGGACGCATCCGCACCAAAGAAATTACACCGATATGGATTCTCAAAATCTCGCCCCCTGAGCCCCTTTGACGCTCCCAAGCCTCCATGCCAAAATCCATCGTACGGACAAAAATCGACACGATGTAGAGTGTGCTAGGCATTACTGGGCGTATTACGCCATTATTTAGACCATGCAGTCAGGGGACCTCGGTCTTTGCCCACGGGCAACCAGTAGGAAGGGGGGGGACAAGCCTGGAGGGCCGCCCAAAAACTTGCTTGAACGCGGCCTGCCCGACCATAAGCACACCAGCCCGCAAAAAACAGCACAAATTTGTCATTATGCACAGAGTCACGTGCGGAGAATGGCCCAAGAGTTGGGTCTGGCTACGGCGTGGGGCTAGCGTATCAACAAGCCAAAGTTTAACACCCGAGTGGAGACTTACTTTACCTCGCCTTGAGGTTGCCAAAGTCGGTTTCTTCGTGACGGAAAAAAGGCTACATAGATCATTTGAGCCGGGCACAGGGTTATCAGCTCGGATATTTTCCACTCAGGCGTTGCCCGAGGGCCCGTCGACTGTCGTGCGGTCACAGTGGGGGGGACGGCCTTGTGCAAATTGGTGGGGAACCGCAAGTCAACGAGCTCGAGCTCCTCCCCTCGGAAAGGACGGAAGAAAAAATCCGGGTCAGGTATTAGAAGTTTAGAGGGTTCACGCCCGGTCTCATGGTGGACGTTGAAAATTATTAGTGGCCCCTCTTGACCTGGAGGCACCGCGTACGCTTTGATGTGACAGGTTTTTAATCCACATAACGTGTGGTTGCGGACAATCGGGTATTTTCTGATATATATACCGACCTGGCTTGCATGTACAGGGTGGACAAGAAGCACATGGAGGAGCGAGGAGGTGGCCTTCAGGATGGAGACCGCCAGGATTTTGTGGCCAAGGAAAAGGCATTAAGAGCAGCGCTTCTGCTTCAGAAACAAAAGAAAGAGGAATGTGAAATGTCAGCACAGCGAAGGGAAAAAGAGGGACCTGACATATCGGACAGGTCACGACTGGAGCGTCACGCGTTGGAAAAGCACCCCACCCCAGAGGACGCAGAGGCGATTGTAAGCCACGAAAAGGATGGGAAAGCTTTGCAATCGACACTGATGCAAAAGAAAGACAGAAAGGAGACATATTCCACGGACTTGGGCGAACAGAGAATGCAGGGAGAAGCCGATCAGGGGGAGGTGAAGGGAAACGTGCGGTTGCGTCCAGGAGGTGACAGGATGACGGAAAAAGAGGAGGAGAGCCAGAGGTCCGAAGACGGCGAATACGAAAGGAGCGTGAAAAGGGCTGTCAGAGTAAGTGGTGCGGAAGAAAGAGGACGCGGGCGATGGAGTGATGACGACGATGATGATGAGGAGGAGGCAGATCGCAGCATGAGGGGCGCACGAAGCCCGAGGGATGGAAAAAACGGGACAGGAAGGAGCGAGATGGATGCGGAAGATGAGCAAGCACCGGCAAGAGGGGCAGA